GTTGTGCTCTGTTGTTCTCTTCAGTCGTTATTGCGTTCTCTATTTTCTATAGATTCTCTAATAGGCACGGCTTTGTTACTCTCATATCGCGCTCACTATTTTGTACAGGTTCTCCTAGGTGTGGCTTTGTTGATCTTTCATTGCGTTCACTATTTTCTATAGGTTCTCTTGTTAACTAACTAGTTGTAATTTTGTATAGGTTCTCCTAGGCGTGGCATTGCGACTATCTCATTGCGATATTTTCGATGTGAAGCGGTCTTAATATGTACCTAGCTTCAAGTTTGTCGTGAATGTAAAAATTTTGCAATATCTGGTTATTCAGAAGTATTTCAGTTGAACTATGAATTAGTACATCATTCTCAAACTTATGCAAGTTACAAATTTTGTTTTTAATGAGGATGATGTGTCGGTATTATGTTGAAAATCTTCTTCAAGTCAGAGCGGCTATCTTGCCATGTTTCAATGGAGGCTGAAAAACTTTTCAAAACAACTTATAAATGTCTCGCTGAAAAATAAAACAATCAAAAAGATTTACGTCATCATATTACTAATACGTCATCATATTACTAATACGTCATCATATTACTAATTTGTGAATAACGTGACTGAGGTAAAACGTGTGTTCCGCAGCTCTGTTCGTTGACAACGTGATCGATGTGGCGAAGAGAGAGCTGGCGTGGGAAAAGTAACCTAGGCACTGTACTCTAGAGTAGACTAGGCACTGTACTCTAGAGTAACCTAGGCACTGTACTCTAGAGTAACCTAGGCACTGTACTCTAAGAGTAGACTAGGCACTGTACTCTAGAATAACCTAGGCACTGTACTCTAGAGTAACCTAGGCACTAAACTAGACGATAACTAGTGCGCTGAAGCTTGTGTACTGCACTCTTTGGTAGTAATCTTTTTGTTGTCAACTCGTTTTGAATGCGCACTGAGAAATTCAATTAAAATTGATACTACAATATGATTCTCATTGTAGCTAAGCTTAAAATAAACATACATGTTTCTATTTATTGTAATTATCGCATTGGCACTTATGCCTCTAGCTGGATTGAATATTTAGATGTGTTACATGGCGAATAAGATTGAATTTTTCTGATGATTGATATTTAATATTTCTTAATGAACGTAGAAGTAATTTAATTTTTCTGCCAGATCCTGACGACGGAGCTCATCGAAGGCGTAGCAGTCGACAAGTGCGTCGACATGGACCAGCACACCCGCGACCGCATCTGTGCTGCGCTGCTCGAGCTCACGATTCGCGAGCTTTTCCAGTTCGGTTTCATGCAGACCGATCCAAACTGGGCGAACTTTTTCTACAACGAGAGAACGCAGCAGGTAATGTGATACCTCGAAACTTTTCGTTCCGTGACTGGGTTCATATGAGGATATGGTTATATGTGGAAATAATATTGGTATTAACGTGTATTAACACAATTATATAAAATATCGCACCAAATCGGTTTGTGAGCAAAGAATTGGTTCATATTCTTAAATTCAGTTCGAAAGCAGAAGATGTTCCTATATGGAGGCAAAAAAATTTCGAACCATTGTTTCATATCTGGAAAAATTTGCAAGTAGAGGCCTTCCTAAGTTGAGGTATCACAGTTTAATGAACACGGATTTTCTTTTATGGTATTTTTAATGTAACTATTTTTTTACTAGCGAGTTACCTCTGCGATAGTGAAAAGTTAACTTTACTTTGTACTCCTTGAATTGTGATTTGATATTATGTCCATTTAAGACGCTTTCAAAGATTGTCCTAATTTATTCATTTTTTTTTGTAAATTCACAGAGTTATTCATTGGTAAATACAAAATAATGTTCCAGATTGCTCTTGTTGATTTCGGCGCGTGTCGAGAGTATAACAAGGACTTCGTTGACCTCTACATTGAAATCATCCACGGAGCCGCCACAGGAGATCGAGCGAAGGTCCTGAAATATTCCCAGGACATTGGCTTCCTCACCGGCCATGAAGCCAAGGTACTGGCCATTATAATAGTAAACAATAAAGATAATAGGCGTAGCCAAGGTAATTGTTTAATCATTGGTCGTTACCCGGATAGTAGTTATTCATTAATATTGGTCGTAGCCTTGGTAATGGGTGTTGATTGACAAAGGGCGTAGTAAATGTATTTATTTTTGTTTTGCTGATTTTTGGTGTCAGTGTTGTGCGCTGATATTATGATGTGGGTAATGATGGAGGCTCTAGTTACTGACGTTGTGCTGCAGGTGATGATGGAGGCGCACGTTGATGCTGTGATGATCCTGGGCGAGGCGTTCCGCCACGACGCGCCGTTTGCGTTCAGCGAGCAAAACACGACGCGGCGCATCCAGGCGCTCGTGCCTACCCTCCTGCAGCACCGCATGTGCCCTCCTCCTGAAGAGGTTAGTCTATCCTCCTGACCAGGTTAGTCTATCCTCCTGACCAGGTTAGTCTATCCTCATGAAAGGGTCAACGAGAGATCCCTTTGTTTTGCCTTGTTGTACACAATAGCATTGTCATTAAGACTGCGTCATTCAGATATGACGGATGCAGACCAGTGACTAACTGACTGATGCAGACCAGTGACTGACTGACTGACTGATGCAGACCAGTGAGTGACTGACCGACTGATGCAGACCAGTGACTGACTGACTGATGCAGACCAGTGACTGACTGACTGATGCAGACCAGTGACTGA